GGACAACATCCCCCGACAGCACTCAGGCACAATCCCCCACCCACACTTAACAGCCTTTTGGTGGCTCTACTATTAGTCGGTTACCACAGCCTCCCCTAAGCTTCCTCCAAATCTCACGGGCCTTACCCCTTAACCCCGACCCCTTATCCACCAGCTACGCAGCCGGAGGCGGTTCGGCGTCGGGGTGGTTGTTCCTGGGGTTGCGGAAGTGGGGGATGTTGGGGTTGGGGTGGTGGTTGTGGTTGTGGTTGTGGTTGCGGGTGAGATGGGGGTCGTGGTGATGGTGGTGGTGGTTATTGTTGGAGGGGGAGGAGGAGGTGGTGGGGGGTGGGTGGTGATGGTGGGGGTTGGCGGGCCCGCCATCGTGAGGTGTAGTGTAGTGTATCTGTCGTGTTTTTTGTCGATGGAAGCGAGTGAGTGAGTTGGTGGGTTTGTGGTTTCGAAAAGGGAATGGAAAAGGTGGTGATAAGGGGCAGGGGATACCAGCTTGTGTGTTTTGTTGGGTTAATCGTCGCGCTGGTAACGAATGAAGTTGTCACGACACGGGCCGTGGTAACCGTCTTTAGAAAAACGCTGTTTCCGTGATCCCTCAAACCTCACGGCAAGATTATGACGTTGGTTGTGTGTGCGGCGTGGAGGTGGTTGGTGCCTTGGTGGTGTGGCGGCGGGGGTTTTAAGGAGACTCCAAACGTGTTGTGAGTGGCCAGGGTGTGTGTAAGTGCCGGATAACCGTTCGGGAAGAGCAAGTGAGATTTGTCAGAGAAGCTTGTTTTGACTGATCACTTCGATGTGGAATCAATTGGTGACTGGCAGTGTTTGCGTACTGTGTAGAATACTATGGGATGTACCAAAGATGCGAGGGTATATATAGTCAGCACCGATGTGAAATCTTTGCCCATGGCGCTTTGAGGCCGGTAATCTCAATTTCTGTTTTTTTTTTCTGCGACCCCTGGCCACGGCGGCCCAACACGGAGGGCCCGAGCCACTCATCTCAGCTCATCGGGTTGTGCTGAGCAACCTCATATATGTATATGTTCAGCAAGTGCTACTGACCCATGAACCAGAAGAAGAAAGAAAAAAGAAAACCAAGTGGCCTCCCCTCAATGCACTTTTTCAACAGCCGGGATAGCCATGGGAACGAACCCCCTACGGGTGATCCATCCAAGACAGGACGTCATTTCGGGGCCCAAGCCAGTGCCAAGCCGGACTACCGGGGCAGCTGACCCCCCTCCATCGGCTCCGGGACTCGGATCTGCATGGTTCCTCTGCCGAGCAGTAAACAGTAACTAAATAGGAGTCACTGGACTTGTGTGTGTATTTTCAACATGTTTGTTGGTATCCCATCGACGCAAAAAGATAACACCATACACCCACTGCCTCTGGCTATTTTTCTCTACCCATAGTTATAGGAAATGAAGATGCCAAGAAACGTCAGATTGTTTGCCAGGTTAGGATCTACCAAGAAGCGGCGTCCGTAGGGCCGGTGGGTAAGAGCAGATGTCCTTGTGTCGCATTCCTTGGCCCAAAAGCGCGAGCACAGGGGCCACGGGAGACCCAGCTTCACTGCTAGTGAGTGGCAAGAGACAACAGCAACGGCACAGCTAGACCACATCACCACAGCATCCTCGATGGGACATTTGTGCGCATGCATTGTCTGCATGACTTGTCTAGGTAACTAGGCCGGTGACCACTTCCGACCTGTCTTCTACCCCGAATATGAGAGTCCGACAAGATGAGAAAGAAGAAGTGCAAACGCCGGAAGAGATATCCTTGCTGTGAAGGAGTGTCTGTACGAATGAATGTCCCAAAAGGCGGGCATTCCACGGTGACCACCAATGCAATGCCTTTCTGTATACTGTCCGAGGGGTAAAGGACCACACCTACGAAAGACGGACTGAAACCAACGCCAGATGCCGTGTCGTGTGTGTTTAACATGCACACCTCTTTTTTTCTCTTCGGTTTTCAGAGCCGCAGACCCCCGCGGTTAGTCGTAATTGAAAAGCACACTAATCGATTCGCCATGGTGTACTCGCCGGATGGCTTCGGCGAAGATGGGCGAGATATCCAGGACGTCGAGCTTGGGTCCCAGGAGCGCCTTGTGCTCGTTTTGTGGGACCGAGTTGGTCACAACCAACTTGTCAATAGCGGATGCCTTGATGCGGCTGATGGCGTCTCCGCTGAAGACACCGTGGGTGAGGAGCGCGTAGATTTTGGTGGCACCCTCTTTCTTGAGGAGCTTTGCGGCCCGGGTGATGGTGTTGCCCGTGTCCAGGAGATCGTCAATGAGAATGCAGACCCGGTCTGCTACGTTACCCACGAGCATCATGCTCGCGTTTTGCCTGTCGGTGATCTTGGTGGGGCGGCGCTCCTGCAGCGAGGGTTGGTAAGTGGCTGAGAGGGGAGACACAGAGAGATGTTACCTTGTGAATGAGGGCAAACTCAACGCCCATGCCGTCTGCAATCGCGGTGGCACGTTTCGCACCACCGGCGTCGGGGCTGATGATGACGGCATCCTTGTAGTTGGGAATGTGCGTTTGGATGTACCGCTTGAGCAGGGGCCTGCCGTACAGGTTGTCTACAGGAACATCGAAGAATCCTTGGACTGCAACATGGTCAGTCAGTATGCTCTTGCCCCGACAAAACATCTACACAAAGAAAAGCCTGAAAAGTGCTTGATGACGTGTGGAAACACAGAGCCGCCTCTTGGCCACGTGGTGACGCGAAGCCACCATTTTGTGTTTCACATACCTTGAGGGTCGTGCAGATCCATGGTGATTACTGCAGCGTAGGTTAGCTATATGAGCGGTGAAGCAGAAGACCGGATTTCTCCCCAAGGTATAGGCTCAGACTCTCAAGCCCAGCTAAGCCCGTAGAACGCGGGGAGACATACCATGATCGGCACCAGCACAAGTCAAGAGGTTGGCCACCAGTGTCCCTGCTTGCGCAACCCACTGCTTATACCCGGGCTTCGCTTGGAATGCGCCGACGTGAGACACGTTCTCGTAGTCGTGTGTTGTGTAACTGCCAATGGCACTCGGCGCCGGGGTTGCGACACTGTGGCCGTTGCCATTGAAATAGCTGTCGCCGTTGCTGATTCCGTTGCTGGTGCCGTTGGTCTGTTTGACAGGAGATGTCGCGCCGGTCCCGTTAGGCAATGACGTCTTGGTCAGCCGGCTCGAGATGTCGGTGCCGTTGACGAGCCCAGCACTCCGGGGGACGCCAGGGGCAGGTGTGGCCGGCACGCTGTCAAAAGTGTAGTCCTTTTTGCCGTTCTCTGAAGGGGCTTTGAAGAGGGGAGCGCCGGCCTTCTTGTAAGGGAGATCGGGTTGCCTCGAGTAGGGGAACAGGGGTAGGACCGCCGTAACTCTCCGGGCCGAGCCTGTCTTGCACGCCGAGATCATGATGCACAGATCCATGAAGTGGTCGTTGAGCTTGCTGCCATTGCCGCCAAAACCAGTCTGGATGATGTAGACATCTTTGCCACGAACTGAATCTTGGATTTCGCAACGGCTCTCACCAGACGAGAATTTAGTAAGAATACGGTTGCAGGCTGGCAGAGCCAGGATGTTGCACACGCTTTCCACGAGGGCGGGATGCGAGTTGCCGCCGAGGACCACAATGTTTCTGACCATGATGGCGGCTCAATTGATGCAATTGGGACAACCAGGCAGGTTGGGCCAAAGGGAATGACGCGATGGAGGAATTAAGTAGCGGAGCAGAATCGGAGAAGAAAGGGTGGCGGCTCGGCAGGCAATCCGAGTTTGAGAAAGTTTGGGGTGCAGAAGCGGAACAGGCGTCGGATGCAACTCCAGGTGCGCAGGCGAGAGTGGGAGGGTGCCTCGATCACACTGCACGACCGATGCCGGCACAGGCGAGACAGCACCAGATGAGGCTCTTTTGTAGTTTTGTTGTTGTGACTGAAGGTGTGAACAGGACAGTTCACCGGAACAGAAACAGAACGGATGCTTCACACCGGGAATCGGTCGCTAACAAAAAATTGCCGAGGGTACCAGGGCAACTGAGATTGAAGAGGGGCCGAGCACGGCTTAGGTGGTTTGGCCGGGCGGTGAGGAGCAGGGAAGAGGGAATAAACAATGTATGGGAAGAAAGAAAGTAAAACGGGAGAGGAGAAGATGAAAGAGAAAATCACAAGGGAATCATCTTGAATCGAGTCAAAAGTGACCAAGTGGGAATGCCGTTCAATGCGGTAATGTTGTTTGGGATGTGGGTAAGATCGGTCCCGCGGTGTGGAACAGTTGACCGCGGGGCTGCTAGGAATTAAAACAAAAAAATTCTCTTTTGCGGGTTGTGGTCCAGTTTCTCGCCTCATGGATCTTGACGTTGGCCGGCCTAGGACGCACCCCAAATCGGTACGTACCTTGGTTCAGGCAATGATGATGCGAGAATTTTTCGGAGGGGCATTCCTGCACAGGATGATTGGCTTGGATTGCTCAATTGGGACGTGCCCTGCAGATGCACTGGGTCAGTTCCATGTCTCGGAGCTCCAACGGTCAGCTTGGGGCATCGCTAAAGCCTGAACCGCATTTTCTTCTGACACACCGAGCTTTTGGGTTGGTTCAAGAGTGCATCGCAACAGCAGCCCGTACCGCGCAATCAATCACAGTGATATAACTAATACATGTGGCGGAGTACGAGGACTGTGACAACCACGAAAGCTGTGCAATAATTTGTCTGTCTACTTACCTGGGCCGCTGTGCAGCTTTTGTAGTTGTGTCCGGTAACTAGCCCAGAACCTTGCCAGAACCCTTGCCAGATCCCGCAGCTTGCATCTCAACAACCCCCGTCAAACCCTTCCGGAAGTGAGGCGGCGACAAAAGGAAGATGAAAATTCTCGAGTCACAAAACGCGCTCCTGTCCAACTATGAGGTTTACCAGCACCTGGCCGACCAGCGCAAGCGGAATAAGGCGCAAAACCGGCGAGTGCCTGGCAACGCACACCAGGTGATGAACGAGGTTGGCTTTTTACAAACAATCATCATTCTCCCAGACACCGAGTCAACTAACAAGGACAGGTCACCAAATATCTCAGCGGAAAAGCCTAGCCCGTTGGAAAAACAAGAAGAAACACAAACATACAGCCCGGCAGCCTTCTCCCTTCTGTTTGAAAAGCTCCGCGAGGCCAACCTGCCAAGCGAACTGACCAAGGGCGAGCTCCTTTCCATCCTCAACATTCGCCCATCATCTACTGCGCTCTTAAGCACAGCAATCGAGGACATGGAAGAGCGGTTTGATGACGACAACCAAAACAAGATTGTCGACATCATCGCAGAAGTGCTGGGAAGCGACGAGTCGAACGAAGGCGGTGAAGAGGCGGATGAGATGGATGCCGATGCCGTGCCAACCGTCGAGAACGGCTACTGAGCAAGCGACTGAATGAGGCATATGCACCATCATTTTGCCCACCCGCTCCGGCCCAGTCAGCAACCCCCGCTGTGACATCCGCTTACATAATTATGCAGCCTCCCTCGCTCTGCCCTCCGTTTGGGGTCGTGGTCTGGAGGGCGGTGCTGCAAATGTCGTCAAAGGCCTCAGTCATCAATTCCCCGGTCACCGCCGAGCACTCGATGTACTTGTCGACACGCATCGCTTGGGCTGACTGGTATCCCTCCTGCGGGTAGATGATGCCGTTCGGGTCATCCTCGGACCGCAGATCTCGCTTGAGACCCAGCACCAGCACTGGGAGGATGTCGCTTGTTGGGAATACCGACCGGACTTCTTTTATCCACTGAGAGAGCCGCGTCAGAAAAGTCGGGCTGGGAGGAGAGGGGCGGATGGGGAGCATACCACCCGCTGGAGGTTGATGAGGCTGAGGCGTTGGCTTATGTCATAACAGATGATGGCCAGGTCCGGCCGGAGAAGCCTCCAGTTTTCGGGGCTGCTGGTATCGTAAAACTCGAAGCGATACTGGCCTTTGCGGGAACGGATCTCGAAAATGAAGGGTTGGTCGATATCTCTGAGGAGGGTGATGGGAGTCTTGCCCTGGAGGTTCTGGCGCCCCTGGCTTATTCGTCTGTGTTCAGTGGATCATGGGTTAGCTCCAACTGTATTTAAGAACATGTTGGGTGTCTTATCTTGGAAGCCATGTTCAGAATACTGACGAGAGAAAAGTCGATTTCCCACATCCCTCATCGCCTAGCAGTACGACCGTAATTGTGTGTTCTTCCATCATGTCATTGGTGAACAGGGCGAGTGTTTCACACAGTAACTTGGGCTCCTTGACATTTACATACACTTTGAGATTATCCTTATCAACATCCCACGGAGGGCTTATCGCGATGCCAAGGCCGAGACCCGCCAAAATTTGTCCAGCTTTGCGGGGGGCAGCAATCGCTGGAATTCCAGTCGCTTTCACCTGCCGGCCAACTGAAGGGGCGCATCGGACTTGTGACAATTTCTAGTGGTTGTTGAGGGGTGAAAAGGGGACCGGCTTTTGACAGCCCTATGAACGCTACATACCGCGCTCGGAAGGCTTTCATCCACGCGCAAGGCCGTTCAGTGGTCGCGTTGCTGTTGCCATCATTTTATGGTGCCACTCACTCATTTTCATACCCCCCTAACTATCGCGCCCTAAGTTCATCCTCACCTTCACCCAAAATGGCCGACCTCAACTACCAGGACTGGTCCAAGGACCGCCTCCTCGAGCGTATCAAGGAGCTAGAACAGCAACTCGAAGCCCAAGCAAAGCCCGACCCCAACCCCAACCCACCATCATCTACAACGACAACGACAACAGCACCATCAACCTCCGCCCCACCACCGCCGCCAGCAGCAACACAGCAACCACCCCCCCAAGCCCAAACCAAAACCAAACCCAAACCCAAACCCACTCCCCCAGCAACCAACAACACCACCACTAACCCTCCCCCAAAAAAAACCAAAAAACCCTCCAAACTCGACCCCACCCGCTACTCCACGCGCCTCATCGCCCTCAAGCTAGCCTACCTCGGCAAGCGCTACGGCGGCTTCGAGTACCAGGCGGGCGTGTCGGTGTCGACGGTCGAGGAGGAGCTGTGGCGGGCGCTGGCCAAGAGCTGTCTGATCTGGCCCGACGACCCGTCCCGCGTGGACTTCGCCCCCTGGGAGTATTCCAAGTGCGGGCGCACGGATAAGGGGGTTAGTGCGTTTGGGCAGGTGGTGGGGGTTAGGGTGAGGAGTAATCGGCCGGTGGTGAGGGCGGAGGTGAAGGCGTGGGGAGGGGCAGGGGGATGTGGTTATGGGGGAGGCGGGGGTGGAGGTTGAGAGGGGGAGGGGGAGGGGAGAGGAGGATGGCAAGCGTGCGTGGGATCCGGTCGCGGATGAGATTAATTACCCACGGATCCTGAACAGACTGCTGCCGCCGGATATCAGGGTGCTCGCGTGGGCGCCGACGCTGCCGGAGGATTTCTCGGCGCGGTTTTCGTGCCGGGAGCGGCAGTACCGGTATTTCTTTACCCAGCCCGCTTTCGCACCGCTCCCTATCTCGGTGGACCCGGAGAGGAAGAAGGGGAGTGAGGGGTGGCTTGATATTGACGCTATGCGGAAAGCGGCCAAGCTGTTCGAGGGTGTTCATGACTTCAGAAACTTCTGCAAGGTCGACGGGGTCAAGCAGATCTCGAATTTCAAGCGGAGGATGTTTGAGGCGGATGTTGTCGAGGTGGAGGACGCGGGTTCGGCGCTACCGTACCTGGCTCAGCAGGGCTTCAAGCCGGAGAGTTTGGTCGGCGGGACCACGTATCCCAAGGTGTACTACTTCCACGTCCGCGGTTCCGCCTTCCTGTGGCACCAGATCCGGCACATGGTCGCCATCCTATTCCTTGTTGGACAGGGACTCGAAAAGCCGTCGATAGTAACCGACCTACTGGACGTCGAGAAGAATCCGCGCAAGCCGAATTACGCCATGGCCGAGGAAGTGCCGCTGGTGCTGTGGGACTGCATCTTCCCCAAGGTCGACAATGCCGAGCAGGCGGCGCTCGACGTGCACGATCCCGACGCGGAGGGCAACACCAGCATGAAGGACGCCATCGACTGGGTCTGGCTGGGCGAGGACAAACCATCGTACCTGCACGGACCGGGCGGACTGGTAGACAGCATGTGGGCGTGCTGGCGCGAGCGCAGAATGGACGAGCTGCTGGCGAACCGACTGCTAGACGCGGTGGCGCGTAAACCCGACCTCAGCCGGAGGCTGGCCGAGTCGGGCCCGCCGGAGAAACCGAGCAGCAGCCAGCGGGTGTACGAGGGCGGCGACTCAGCCAGGGCGTCAGGGACGTACGTCCCCGTGCTCAAGAAGCGCCTGCTGGCGTCGCCGGAGGAGGTCAACGACAAGTGGGCCCAGAGAAAGGGGTTCGCCAGCGCGGAGGAACTGTCCAAGACCAAGAACTGGGCGTAGCGTTATCAACGGCGAACAACGACGGGGATAGCAGTGCGGCAGACAGCAGCGTAGATGAATAAATCACCTAAATCTACCCTTCTTCTGAGCAGTCCAAATGTTTTAGCAATCCCAACCCACACGCTTAAACTTCAAAATAAAACAAACCCTTGACAGAAAAACAGCCATCACCCCTTCCCCCCGTCCTCCCCCTCCACCAAACACGCCCTAATCCCCCTCCAGACCGCCTCCACAATCCTCCTCCTCGGCAACAGCCCCGGAAACAGCACCACCACATCCTCCTCCCCCTCCACCACCACCACCAAATAATACCTGACCTCAAACCCCCGAAACGCCTCATTTATCAACACATCGCGTATCTTCTCCGTCGGGATAAACCTCGTCTGCCTGCCCCACCCCAACTTCCCGCCCCCACCACCACCACCCCCCGACCCCGACCCCGACCCGGACCCGGACGTGCACGTCTGGATCCCCAGCCCGCGCAGCACCAGCACCGACTCGGTCGTGTGCAGCCGCGTGTGCACCGCCGCGTAGATCGCGCCCGCAGCCGCCCCCGCGACGGCCCAGTCGGGGAGTGGGGTGGTGAGGCTGGTGAGGAGGGTGCCGGCTTGGGAGAGCTGCGCGTGGGAGAGTGCCGTGCGGAGGAAGAGGGCGATGTTCCCGGCGGAGAGGAGGGTGAGGAGCGGTTCTTGTGGGGGTTGTTGTTGTTGTGGTTGTTGGTGGTAGTTGTGGTTGGTTGTGGTGGGGAAGGGGTCGAAGCGGGTGTAGAGGGTTAGGAGGGCGGCGAGGACGACGAGGAAGCGGAGGAGGTGGATGCTGAGGAGGAGGAGGCGGAGCGGGATGGTCAGGGGCGGGCAGGTGGTGACTGTAAATTCGGCGGTTGTCGGGGAGGGGCGGCGGATGTAGAGGTGGGGGGATGTGGTGAGCATGGTGTCGGTTGGACTGGGTGGTGGTTGTGGTATGGTATGGAGGTGGGAAGTGTTGATTTGTTTCGTAGTTTGGGCGGTGATGTTGTTGCGCGTGCTGGCCGGTGTCACCTTGGTCGCCTGGCCGTGGGTTTGTTTGGTCGACTCATTATTCGGTAGGAAAGAATCAATTCATTCCTCTCGTCGAGAGTTCCGCAATTGCTAGTTGAAGGGCCGGTGTGCGCATGTGAATGAGAGAGGAAACCGTGGACGCGCCGAAGGGGAAGCGGCCAGCACAAGTCCACTATCGATAAGCATTACCCTAACCCTTCAGTATCCCAGTACCCTAACCCTTCAGTATCCCAGCGCACTGGCCCCCAAATCTGTGCAGGGTATATGTATTAGTTTCCGCACCCCCAATTTTCGACTGTAATGGTCAGTTTGGTTTCGGAGGCACTTGATTTTCTCGCTGTTTCTACTCCATCCCCATAAGAACCCCCCAGCGGCGCCCAGCACGAATCTCGCGGTGGCCACCCACTCGCACGGGTAACCTGCGATCGCTGCGTGTGGCCCTAAGCAATGAAGATGACACTTGAGGGAGGTCTCACTCTGCAGAGGCATCTTCACCGTCAGATGGCGCGCTGGATCACGATCGCTGGGGGCTTGGGGTAGAGCGGCGAGATGGAGATGTCGACTCCAATTTTTGTCATTTCTTTTGCACTGTTTTATTTATCGACAAGTGACTTGGATGATGCCTGTCACCTTGAAAAGTGATCCCATCAATTGCGACAACACAAAAACGCCAAAGAGGCAGTTGGTGGCTATTGACATGCAGCCTGGCGATGATCAACTTAGGGTTGTTGAGGGTTGAAGAATCTCGCGATGTTGGCCCACACAAACCTCCAACCCTGAATGACAGACACAGCACAACACACTAACACCAAACAAGGAGACATCAGATAGACAAACAATATCAACTTCTGCTACTGCAACTGCTACTACTAGACCCCCATTACAAATCCAGCAATGCAAATCTCCCCCATCGAAACGAAAACACCATCCAACACAGTGCCGTGAGGCAACAATGTAGTTATCCCACACCCATTCAACCCAGTTGAACCTGTTTCACCCACCCGCCAGCTTTTGTTGCCTTTTCCCATCCCCTCCTCCCACCTCCGCCCATATCCAATCCAATCCAATCTGGTATTCCATAACCCCTCCTGTGCTACCTCCTGCCACCCCCCATCCATCCATCCACTCATCCACCTCCCAGCCAGCCAGCCCAGCCGAGTTGTCATAAGTCATGAGAAGGGAGATAAAAGGTATCCCAGAATGATGATGAAAAGTAAAATGAGAAAAAAACGTATAAATACTGAAAAATCAAATGCAAAATGCGACATGCAAACCAGATAACTACCACCACCCACCATGGCGCGAGGGAGGAGGAGAGCAAGAAAGAAATATGCCCTGCCTCGCCTCGCTGTGGCGTCCGTCTCCATTGACCTCACCCAGGCCATCAACTCTTCATAGATATATTTCCCTTCGTCCAGGACAGCGGTACCTCATACCCCTCCTTTTTTCCGTTCTCCATGTTAACATACCGCGTTGTTGGTATTGTACGCGGCCGTGTGTGTGTGTATGTGTGTGTGCATGAAATAAACCGACAGACCAGCCCGTCCATCCCCCTCCCCAACCCTCACATAACAACAACCCCATTAAATCATCTCACTCTGATGCAACCCCGTGCGATACTCATTCCTCCCTTCCTGCTGCGCGACCTGCGCCTGGACCTGCTGATAAACCACCTGGTTCTGAACGCGGTAGTTCATGCCCATGCTGACGGGCGGGTGCGAAGAGGGTGCGGGCGGCGGCGGCGGCGGCACGCTCTCGTAGGGCGCGCCGCCCATCATCTCGGGCGATTTGATGGACGAGGGCCCGCGGCTGCGGCTGGCGGAGCGCATGCGCTCCGTCGCGCGCGAGATGCGCCCCGCGATGCTGTCGACGCTGCTGCGGCCGCGGTTGTGCCCGTTGCGCGGGTTGGGGGTTGAGATGATGGGTACCGTGGCCTCGCTGACGGGGATTGCGGAGGGGATGGGGGGCGGGGGAGGGGGTTGCTGGTGCTGCTGCTGCTGGGGTTGGTATTGTTGCGGGTAAAGCTGTTGTTGGAGTTGTTGCTGAAGCTGCTGCGGCGGCTGGGGCTGGTCGTCGTCCATGACGATCTCGATCATGCCTGAGCTGCCGCCGTAAACGACCGGCTGGGGGCCGCCGACGTGGGGGAGGGGAGCCGGCGGGGGCGGTGGCGGCTGCGCGAGGTGTTGCAGCTCCTTGAGCATGGGTGGGACCGGCGGTGGAGGTGGCGGCGGGATGTTCGCGTTTGCATCATGCGACGGCCTCCGAGTAGGGAAAGCGTTGGCGTCGTGGGATGGCCTCCGGGCAGGGAAAGCGTTGGCATCGTGGGACGGCCTCCGGCCCATCGACGTCGAGTTGACAACGGAGGGCCGTCTCGATTGGGTCTCCGGTTGGACCAGGTCCCGGGGAGGAGCAGACATGGACCTACCGATCTGGGCTGCGATCCTGGACTGGGCTGGCGGAGGCGGCGTGTACACGGACGACGAGAGCAGCATCGGAATGTCGTCGACCTTTCGCTCCTCCTCTACACGTTCCGGTGAACGCCTGCCTGGCGACTCACGCTGCGGCTGCGGTTGCGGCTGCGGCTGCGGCGGCATGGCGGGCGAGGCCTGCGCGAAAGTAGACGGGATCGGGGGAACGGGAGCGTTCCTGGAACTCGACTCGGAATCCATCACCAGCCGCATCGCCCTGGGCGTTGCCGGAAGCCCAATGGCCGGCCTGTTGCGGGTCGCATACATACTTCTCCCGGCGCTGGGATCCACGCTTGCGCTGCGGAATGGGAGGTCCTCCTTCTTCGGTGGCACGTATGTCGTGCTCGGAAGTTCCATGAGCGAGGGCAGCGCACTGGCAAGTGGCGCAGGTGTGATCTCGTCGGGATGCATGATCGGCGGCGCCGAGGGCCTCGTTGCGAGAGACTTGCGGCGCGCCTCGAGTTCACGGGCAGCGGCCTCCTTCTTCAGCTGTCTCTCATCCTTAATGACTCTCAGATCGCCCGAGTTGTTGTCTGCAACAAGCTGCATCGGCGCCGGGGTCTTCAACGGAGCAGCGATCTTGCGACGCGAAGAGGTCTCCGTCCCGGCGTGTGATGTGTTCCGCCGAAGATCCGACTTCTCCCTGGGTGCCTCCCGCGTAGACCATGCGGTTGATCGAACCGACATTGGCGAGGCCGGTACTTCTCCCCTGGCTCTGCTCGCGCTGCGATTGTTTCTCTGGCGGAACTTCTCCTGGGCCTCGACCGCCTGCCTGTAATCCTCCCTCATCATCCGACCCATAGTAATGCTGCTGCAAGTTTGCCGACATGGGCTGCGGCGAGGATGGCGACCTGTTCGACGGCGGGCCGCGCGATACGGAGCGTCCACGGAGGTCCAGCGCGGGCGGAACGTGACGCTTATCCGGGCTGCGCGCGCGGCTCGAGCTGCGGCCGTTCCGGCTGGCGGTGCGGCTCGAACCCCTGACCCGGGAGCCATCTCGGTTGGCGTATCCCACCTTCTTGACCGTGCTCGGCTGGCTCGGCAGTTCCATTTCATCGTTGGAGATATCAATCAGCCTTCCTTTGCCGCCGTTGTGGCTCATCTGATCAAAGTCCTCCTTGGGTGTCGCCAAGTTGATCAGGTCCTCGGGCGACATGGGCACTGGCGATTTCGGCGAGCGTTTTCCGCCCTTGGGAGTGTAACTCCGCGACGAAGCCCGCCCGCGGTCTTGAGACTTTCCACGGTTGTCCTTGCGTGACCGGCTGGTAGCACGCTCATTGCGGCCGTCGCGGCTGCTCTCCCGAATTTGCTTCTTGGTCGGCGCCGCGTCTAGACTGTGAACGTAGTTGTCTAGGCCCTTGCTCTGGCTGTTGTGGTACCCACGCTGGCTCCTTGCAACGCTTGATGCCGCCGAAGCCACGCTTACAGAGCTGGCCACGGACCCAGGGCCTCTTCGCCTGGATGGCCAGTGGTATCGGACAGAGGAATTCGCCGATGGTTCGGGTGAAGTGAGGTCTTCTGGCAGAGAGTCTTTGAACGAGGGGAGGGACAAATCAAGGCCTTCAGGGATGCGGCTGCGGGAGCCATTCCTCCTGTATCTTCCGCCTTCCATCAAGGCAGCAACAGCCGCGGGGGACGGGGACGGAGGCGGGTGCCCCTTAACATTCTCCTTCATCAACCTCGGGCTAGCAGTATTCGGTCTCGTGAGTTCGAGCTTCCTCACGGCAGTGTCGTGGACTTCGGTCGATTGGAATGCGTTCGCATAAGGGTCTCCCTCCGGCCGCGCTATGGCAGTCAGCAGATCGCGCTGGGCCGAGTCAGGGGCTTCTCCAATCGATGGCAAGCGCTGCCGGCCAAATCCATGCACTGGACGGGCAGATGCCGGGGTGTTAAACTGGCTCCGGTTTCCTCGCAAGATGGCAGTCGCGGGGTCAGCGCCGCCGGGAGATAGTGCCGTTTCCAACATGGGCGTCGCTGCAGCGGCTATCGGAGTCTTGCCGTCGTCGACGTTTGCCAGCAGCCTGTTTTTGGCATGAGGGTCGAAAGAAGTGATGAGTTTTAGCGCCGAGTTCTTTGCGATACTTCTTTGTGGCCCGTGGTTCATGACCGGGGGCGAGAGCGGCGGGCTGAGCAATTCGGGGACCGTCTGTGTGATACTGGGGAAAGTGAGCTGCTGGGCGGATGGGGAAGACCAGGGCTCGGTAGATTCGCGGCCGGTGCAGGCAAAGCATCGGATAGCCAGTTGTTGCTGACCGTGCTGGACCGCCCACTCGCCCCATTTCTTGACAATCTGTTCCTGTCGTTCCCAAGCTGCCGGGAAGAAGAGACACGTGAGGACGAGAGCCTCCATGTACTTCTTATGCGAAACGTAAATCTCGACAGCATCGTTGTGGTCGCCCATGCCAACCATGATTGTCGCAGCGGCGTGGACATCGCCGCTCTCGAGCAGCCGCTGCACATAGGCACGACCCAGCTTGTGCTGAGATGCCTGCCCGCCGATACCGCTCAGTGCGAGAAGCATCCAGTCTGACGAGGTCATGTTCTCGGATCCCATCGCCATGATATCGGTGTTGATATCGCCTAGCCACTTCGCCAGCAGAATACGGTTCGTCGAGCCAAGCGGGTGGCGGGACATTTCGTCCCGGACCAAGTCGTCAATGTCCTTGTGCCATCCGAAGATGGTGCTGAGCATCTGCCGTCGCAGGTCATCGTTTGTCAGGCGGCTATTGTCAGAGGAAAACGGCGCCTTGTACGGCACATCTGCAAGGCGGCTCTTTGTGAACTTGAACAGATCGACAACCCGCGCATCTTCCGGACTGCGCGGCACCTCGTTGCGTAACCTCGAAGGCTTGCGGGCGGTGTGGTAATGCGAGCTCCCCATCGAAATCGAGCTGGTCGTCGATAGAGATTCCCTTTCTTTCCTTTCCCGGGGCTGAGTGTAGCCGGAGCGAAGCGACGAACCGGCCGAGATGTAGGTGTTCTCGGTCATGCCCCGTGATACGGTAGAAGCTGGATACCGCCGCGCCGCGGTTTGGGACGTGGACGACGAAATCGACACGGTTGACCGGGAGATGTTCGAGGCCGGTGTGGTGGGACGATACTGTTCGGTGTCGGACTCGCTTTGCAGATACCGGGCTAAAGGCGACCTCCCATCCTCTTGATCGGACATGTCGGCCGGCCGAAATGTGATTTCTACCTGTGATTCTGATTCGGAGACATGCCCGGGTTGGCTCTTCTCTTCGGCCTCCAACGAAATAGGGGGTGATGGCGGGAGCAGATTTGCAGGGTGCTGTACGTTCTGAACCATCATGGCTGGCGCGTTGAGGTCGAATTGCTGGACCGTGTTGTTGGCTCCGAGTGTAAAGAGCGTGCCCGAGGGGCCGTAGACAGCCAGGCCGCGGATGGTGTCGAGAGTCGGGATCGTGTCATAAGTTACGTGTTTAGTCCGCACGTCCCATGATATGGTTTCACTATGCATGTTTAGTGGTTGGCCGATCACTTTACCAGCTCCCAGAAGCACTCACGATTCTGAGTGTTGAATAATCCGGCCGTTCTTGGACCACCCCCATCCAGTTTGGGCCCGTCAGGTAGTTTTCCGTCCTCTTCAGAATGCGCACGATCTTGGCCGGGTCATCGGCGTTGTAAGCCTTGGATACACTCCACACACGGAGGTCGCCATCGTTTGTCTGTACCGACAGCATATCCGATTTTGACCGGGAAGATGAGGCGTGCCATGATAGGGTCACAATTGGTGATGGCACACTTGATGTGGTGAGGTTGTGCAGAATTGTAAACCTTGGCTGGAGAGTCGCGATCAAGAGCGACCCGTTTTGGTAGCTGTAACTTCCGTGTCAGCCTCAAGTGAAACCATCCAGAAAGGCCGCTTGAACGTACCCGATAGCGAAGGTCCTGCAGTCGGCTGCAGGTGAGATGGCCGTGATGGCGATCTGGTCAATCGTCCTCGCGGAGAGGTGCTCTGATGTTGTCGGCTCAAATAATATCACATTGCCTTGTGAGTTGCCTGGGTCCCCGTCAGCCAAGCGCTCACGACAGGAAGCCGTAACACGTCGCACTCACCAAACGCAACATTCCCGTTTCGCATCCAAGAGGCACATGTGAGATTCTCATACGACGCAAAGCGGGCGACTTCGTCTCCTGTCAAGAGATCCCACACAATAGCCGTCTGCCCCACATCGTAGCTGACCACCAACCTCCCTGCTCCAATGTCGCTGTGGTTGTCGACGGCCAGTAACTGAACCTCCTCGGCGTGCCGCGCGAATCGCCGTTCTATCGCTAGTGTGTCGTAGTGGCAGCATACTACCGAAGTCCCCTGAGCATAGAGGAACATGGATGCCGTAGCGGCGCACGGATCGAAGTAGCGGCTGGCATTAATCGTGTTGTTAGGCGTCGCCATGGCGTAGCCGTGCATGTGGGCGAGCCTTCCTTTCTCATGGGTGGCAGTGCTGGAGCCAGCACGGCTCCGGGAAACATGAGGGCCCGCAGCGGACATGGCGGGCAACGGGGCGGACTAGATAAGTCCTCGGTCTTGTGGATGATGAGACTACCAAGGGTCACCTGCTTGTATATTAGTCGGCTGCTTGCATTGCAGGGGGGTCATCCGGCGCGGTCTGGCGCGCGAGACTAGCCGCCGGGCATTCGATAGGAAAGTCTCTCGCATCACACCCGGTATGGCTCCGTCGCGGTACGGACGGGGGCGGCGAGCATAAAAACAAGATAGAGAACATACCGACCGATCAGTAGATAAGTAGCACGCACCGGAGGCGGAGCGGCGAACTAGGGCGAGCGGCGAGGCTACACAATCCGAACCCCAACCATCACATGGGACAGTGTCTCCCGCTGTCAGTTCCCGTAGTCGGTACGTTCCTCCACGTTCCGTGCACCTACGAAAGCCGAGCTTTCTAGGTATCCCGCTGCATGTGACTGACGAGTTGGCGTGAATGTAAGTGATCGCCACGCCTGTCGTGTTTTGGGGAGATGCCAGTGCAAGCCGAGGACGAAAGGGTTCCTGTGGTGACGGGATGCCCGGCGTGAGAGTGCTAGCTGTGGGCACGTTGTAGCGGGGGAAGACGGGAAGGAGAAGCGAATTCGAGACGAGAGTTGGAAGGGTATTGGGTCGGCCGCACGGTTGCACCGGGGATGTTTCTTCTCCGGGGGGGGGGGGGGGGGGAAAGGAACCCAAAGCCCCCCCCAACCCCAGGGAGGGGGGGGGGGAGTGTGCGGGCTGAACTGTACGGGGGCGGCAAAGATAAGTCTACCGGCCTCGCCTCATGAACGGGAACCTTGTAAGGGGGTGCTTGTCAAGTGCGCTCAGCGCTTGTCGTGCGGCAAAGGAGCTTCGGCGGGTAGACGAGCGGCTTCAATAACAGAGCGGCAGAAAGGTGTGAAGAAGCGGTCCGAGGTCAAGTTGTGTATAAGTCTGGGACGCCCGAAACTGCGCCCCCTAATTACCGCGCAAGTTCTTGCTGTTTCTTTTTACCGCTCTGGCGCATGCACAATGTGCGTCAACGAGGGAATAGGGTTGCAGAAACCTTGGGAGGGCAAGTGGGAAAAGGAAAGACAAGTACACTGTTGCCACGAGGGTGTGCCGGGAAATAAGACGACCCCAGCCATCGTAGGCGCTTAAATCGGATGGGGCTCGACAGGCGACTGGGCGACTGGGCAAGGGCACCATGGGGCACATATAAAATGAGAATGCCTGTTCACTGCTTGCTCCCTCCTGCGCGCCGTTCGGGTTCTTCACTGCCTCCTCTTCGCTTGCACCCTATTGCGCGAATCTGGGAGCAGATGCGGGCCGGCCAGGGCCAAGGGGGGTGTTTCTGTGGTCCCGCGGGGGCTGCAGGGAAAGGCAGATGGCAAGATGCGCATTGACTAGGGCGGGACTAGCAGCCGGGGTGTCCTGCGAGTAGAAATGCGGCTTGCGCCTGGGCTGGACGAGACCCTGGTCTGCAGGAGCAGAAAGTGACTTCGATCTGTCCCCATCACTGGTGGGAAGCACAGGATGCCAGGACTCGAGCAGTGCTTTGCAGCGGTCCGCATCAACCGTGGTTGGCTTGCAGCATCCGCCGTACATGGTACATCCAATATTTGCCATAATTCGGTCGCTGCTGCTGGTTTGGCTGTTGACCGTCCCTAGAACCCGCTGCTGGTTTTTGGGCGTTGCTGCTGACGAGGCCGCATGACCTGTTACCCCCTCGTAGCTGAAAAGGAGGCGGATGCTGGCCGTCTCGCCTCATCTACGAAAATCCTGTGGTATGTATTCACACCAGGTCAACGCTATGGGTTGATAGGGGAACGAGTGACCTTTGAGAGGCCGCCTCGGGGCCGAGAGACCGGGTGTGCCGAGCTCCACGATGACAGCGTGGCCCGGGTGGCAGGTGTGCTGTCTGAATTGCGAATTGGGCAGCGGTCATGGCGCTGGCATGTCCCGTTGCGGCCCGTCTGTGTGCTCGAGGTTGCCGCGCTGGTCGTAGCGCAAGAGAGATGACCTCCAGAAACTTGAGCGGTACCTTACCTGTGAGGATGCAACGATCTGCAGGCGGGAACTCTGCCCCGCGGCAGCTGTGCCGTCCATAATCGGAGAAGCACGCAAAAGTGCACTTTTTTTCTTTTGTCTTTTTTTACCTTCTTCTTTTCGTTCGTGTTGACAAAAAACCTTTGATTGCCGCAATTGTTGCTCTGTCTCTCGATATGGAAATCGGCTGGTTCCGGGTCAGACGCCAACTCCAAGCAGCTTCCGTCCCGTCTTACCTTCTTCCGTCTGAATCCGTGGTTTGTTCCTCGAATTTGCAAGTCCGGAGATTCACGATGTGGTTGGTTGGTGGAAGTTGGGGGGAGCCACAAGAATTGGCGGCGGGGAGAAGTGGGGAACCACACCTGAGGGCAAGGGTGCGTTAAGCGCCTTGTCCGGCGATTGGTCGGTAAATCCCTGTCATGCAGCCAATCACGGCTGCTATCACCGTGCTCACAGGGATCCAGTCGCTTTCCCACCCTCAACCTTTCGAAACGTCCCTGCCGTATTATCCTATTGTTCGTCACTCGAGTCCTTCAAAGGATGGAAGACAATGGAGCAGCTGAAACGAGTCATGAAGCCAGGCCAGTGGCAGTCGATATTTGATATTGCATTTGGATTTGGATTTTCCGGGATTTTGAGACGACAATAGCCCGACTGTGCCCCTGAAAAGAAAGGGGTTCTGCGATTTGAATGTTTCCCGGTATTTCAGTTACAGAATTCATGCACTCTCCATTCCCAACCTGGAAACTGGAGCTGGAAACTGGAAACTGGAAACCGGAAACGGGCACTCAAACCTGGAACAGCCGACTGGCCTCCATGGACAACGATCTGGACGTCAGGTAGCTAGCTCACAGGCTCGAGAACCCCGCTCCCCCCTCCGGTTCGTCCCGTTTCGAGTCGAGCTGGTGGTAATCACTACACAGCAGACCGTCTTTTGCCAGAATCCATGCGGTGAAGCCCGAGTCGGAGTTGAACTTTTGGTGCTGTTTGAATACGAAGTTCCTGCGGCTTCTGAAACCCCCAAACTCTGGTGTATGTGCAACGCTGGCACCCCACCATACCGGGCTGCAGGTGCACCCACTTTACCTGAGAATTGCAGATTAAGTCGCATAACCTCAACGGTCTCCCACATTTCTTAGTGAGAGGGCCTCACTCATGGTCGGACTACACTAGATGAGTTTGGGGGTTTGGTCAATGCACAACACCGCTTTCCAATCACATCAAAACAACACGTGCCCCCGAATCTCTCCCGGGCAGCTTCGGTGCATCCGTCCCGATTAACGGTTATGCAGCTGCGAGACTTGATTCGCCTGGGCCGTTGTTTCGGGTGTATTCATGGCGGTCGGCGCTTCTCGAATCATCCCATCCCCTACATACGTACATACATACCTGCACAGCACCCGACCATCGCCAACAATGGCGTGCCGCCGTTCGTCCATAAAATGCTATAAGTGACTCCTTTTGCCCCCCAAGCCAACCCCCGCATCGCTGAGGGGTCCGCCAATGGAGGCGGCGGAACGAGGAGGGAAATTCGACCAGCTGCAGGCACGGCGCACTCGCAGGCGATGAAACCCAAAGCAGCACTTCCGGTTGGGTTGCGCTGGGCCCTCGGGTCTTCTGGGTGACCCCCATCGATCTCCATATCAAGCTATGCATCACGATAGCATCTGCGTCCATACCCGCCCGCCCCGCAAAGCCTCGATAGGATAGGGCGGCCCCCGCCCCCGCGGCCACGAGCTGTGGCCGGGCTGCAAGGTCACGCTTCTTGACACGCCGACCAGGCGGCCACGTTGAGAGGCCCATACCCGACCGCTGGGACCGGTGGCCCCGTGGAGGCCCTGTGTGGTGGGCAGAATCGTGCCTGTGTCGCCCTCTGCCTCGCGCTGCGCCGCCCTCTCCGTCATCGGTCAAGCAGAGCCAGTCGCCGCGCCCCGTCCCTGACATGGCCGTATATGCTGTCAAACGTCAGAGTAGAGTGGTTGCATGCGCCCTGGGCACCGCAAACGAGCCAAATGTCACGTCACCCCATCTGCGTCACGGTTGTTCTGGAAGGCCCACGGCGTCGTCACCCGGCGGTAGCGGTGGAAAGGGAAAGCCTGGGTCTCGGCATCGTCGTTGTCGCCCAGCGTTGGACAGCGTGGGGTTTGTCCCGCAACGTGCGCTTCCGGAATCCCGGATGTTACCGCCGGCCATTGCTCGCATTACCTCGCAGCCTGGGTAGCCATCTAGATTCTAAAGCGGTCAGAAGGTGAGGAGATGTCCTTAGGGTACCAAATTATGGAAGATGACAGTAGATGATGACTTACAAATAGGTCAATTGACCTTCCACCTCGGGCAGTGACCCGACTGCAACATGAATGATGTCAAAAACTCAATTGGTGTCCCGATCTGGTCTGGCAATCTCAAATTTGATGGACCGGGGGGAGGGTACGATGAAGGTCAAAGCGGAACCGGCGGGAAGGGAGCTTTGGCCTCTTTTCTCATCCCCGCATGCAGGGCAAGAAGGGCGGGGCCGACGGCAGCTTCCTTCTCATCCCATGTCGAGCGCAAGGGTTTTTCCTTGCGCTGTTCCTTCAGCACATCAAAACATCACATCCCGTCTTCGCATCTGTCAATGAAGCTTGTTGGTTCGGATGCCAGTGACTGCAACGGGAATGACGGGGAAAAATTAACAATGGTCATGCTTGGGCCGTGACGGCCCGCGGGAGCACGGTGACCTTGCGCATCGCAATCTAAACGCACCACACACGAACATGGCATCAGCATTGCTTTCTCGGACGACTGCTCTTGGATACAACGCAACGCAACCACTCACACAGCGTCGTGGCCGAGTTCGGGCTTTCTCAACCCTCCTTTTCGAGTTCCTCAGACTTGGACTAGGCAAGAACACTCCGCCATTGGCTTCTTCCCCGCGTTGATTGAGAGAGAGAATCAGAAAATCAGAAATCTCGAACTCGCTTGCCTCTGCAGGATCTCGCAAAATAACGTTACCCGTATCGTGTAATTCGGCATCACACCACCTCCGCGGCGCTGACAAACACAGGACCTCGGGCACACCAGCACACTTACTTAGTACTGTGTACTAGCGAATTCCTGCTGCCATCCACCGAAGGTGCATGCAGTGCAAGCCGTGTAGTGCAGCATGGATCATGCAAACCCATCATGAACAACTTCCCCAATTCGAAGTCACCCACCTCGCATCGCATGAACATCAATATGAACGAATGATCTCCAAGACCTGCAGCCCCGGTCTCGGGTCCCTCACCCTTCGTATTTTCCATCCACCAGTAAGTGAGTGGCTGTGTCACAAGTTCAAGCCTCAAAGTTGCCACCCCTCAACGCCTCAATCGTCACCTCACCTGTACCCTCTCCCCATCTCGAGTCCGCATTGTCTGTTTTGGTCCACTTACAGCTTCACCGCTCGCGCTGTCTCACCCCCCTCGCCCCTCATCGGTTTGTACAGACGACAACTCACCCACCAAAGGAACGTGACGACCGAGTGCGCATGTGCAGCTCGCCGCCAGCACTCCGGAGCAGAAACTCGTTTGACTCTTCGCCAAACTCCTGCCAGTAGCCGACAGCCGGGTGCCGGCTCCGGCTTGGTGGGGAACAGCTTCCATTTGTTGAACAATGACAAAGGACCGAGGAGAGAAGTGGATTGTCAAAAGCCCACCGTGATTCGAGCCGGACAATATGTGGCGTCGATTGGTTCTGTGTGCACTGCGCGGAAAATCGACTGCATGCCGGCGGATCACACAAAGGGATCGATTTAAACGCCAAGCAAGGTGACATGCCGCCACCAGACTCGATCACGCTGATGCGATTGATCACGGGCTTGCCGTGGGCACTTCACTCGAAAACTGGAATGGTGGAAGGATTCCACTAACGAATTGAATGTTTTCGGTCCTCCTTCTACCCCCCAACCAGAGACAGCAAGACCTTGGAATGGTCTGCTCATCTCTTTCATTCAGCAGCATCTCGTTCGGAACATCCGTGCGCATTGATCTTATACGCCGAGCCATACGTCGCACGGCCGTTCTCCTTGGTCCTCGTTGATCTTAAAAGAAGAAGCATGAGACAATATCATAACTTCCGCTTGTTAAGCCCTGCCGCCGTGCCGATGAGCCAAACTTAAAACCACTCACTTGGCCGCAGTCAACGAACAACTCCGGGGAAGAGACGCAGATGCAGTGATGATCGCCACGGCTTATCCGTTGTTGGCGCCAACAAGACTCCTGATCCCTGCCAGCATTGGCAACGGCCAGGACCACAGGACCAAAAGGGCCATGTCGGTTTGTCCCCTAACCCCAAAAAGACGGCGGATTCTAAGCTGATCGCGCGTTCCGGCCTGGATCGGGCCGCATGCCCATCACACGCTAAGCCTGAGAGCTGAGGCTCATATCACGCTCGGAAGTGGCAAAAGTTCCTTCCAGCACCAGTAACCACTTCATCACAAGCCCCGGGGGGCTCCGCAGTCAGCTTAGGATGATCACCACGTAGAGTAAACGTTGCCTCAACCCTCAAAGTGCGACCGAGGCCATGAATACCCTCGCTGGTCTCTTGCGTCATCCTCGGCGAAATCAGAAATGAGATGCTCGCCAAATGTGACGAGAACATAAGGGACTCCACCCGGTTGGCGCCTGACCCTTTGTTCATTCAACGGCTTCATTGATAACCAAAAACTCGCCGAGCAGACATGGTTCTTCGGTTACGGATAGGGGCCAGGGTTTGAACATCGACGGATCACCGTGTAACTCATCACCACGTAACGATGCTAGTACAGGGTCATGGACTGGAAAGATGGAGTGAAAAGTGGCGAGGACCGAGCCCCAAGCCAAAGCGGCAATGTACACTTCAGTAGAGGTCTTGCTTCGTCTAGGGTTAACGGCGAGTGGCCAGGAACCGCCAACGGACGGCTCCAAGAAGGGTTTCGACTAGACTCTCCAAAGTGCTGCCTGCTGCCACATCATTTGCCGTATCCGATACCTTTGTAATAATCCAACTCCACAGGCCCAAATTGAGAGCTAATGGGGTGAATATCCGTATCTTGCGCCTGTCATGTTATCAAATTCAGTCTGTCGCGAAGTCCACTACTAGGACTCCAGATCCCGGAGGCAGAACCTTAGTCCAAGTCATTCAAATACCCAACTCACTATCCGAAGCCATCTTCCACAGTAGCTGTTAATGGTAACAGAGCAGTCCTTGCTACTCATAATAGGTATCCAAATTCGGTGAAATAGAGATTCGATATCATCAGGTATACCCCCAGCGGGGAATACCTACAATCCCAACTCTGCGGCACCCTAAGATCAGGGAACACGTAAGGTAATCGGTAGGTCTACGAAAAGCATTAGACCACATGACCAAGGACTTCCGAGCCTGATTATTAAGCTACATCGTCTTCAAGGAGAGCGTATTGGTAACTTTTTGTGTCGTTTTGCTTGGTTCTCTTTCTCTTCCTCATTTTCTTTCTTCTCTTCCCTCATCTTTGAAAATTTTGTTTAATTAACAATATAGAAGAATGGTTTTTTTTTTTTTTTATTTTTTTTATTGTTTTTTATAGTAGTTTTTTCTCCGAATCATTTTTTTTTTTTTTTTTTTCTTTTTCTTTTCTTTTTTTTTGTTATTTTAGTTTA